GGGGGGGGGGGGGGGGGGGGGGGGAGTGGGTCCAAATTTCTACCCCTAAACACTTCAACACTCCTTTTAGATCGTGTTTCACAAAAGCACAAAAGCAAAATTAAAATTACGATTTAGATTAATTACAAGAAAATTGGAATTATGAAATTAATTACGCTTCTGAAAACACATAATTAATTTTAAGAGGAAGAATAAAATTCGTCCCAAAATTTGAAAAAAATCGCTATCAATTGAAAAGAATACATAATAAATCAATCAAAAAAGAAAATGGAGAGTAATTTTAGGTAATCAAAGAATTTGGATTATTAATAATAATTCTTTAATGAAAGCCTTCCAGCAATAAAAATATTCTTTTTCAATTATAACTTAGAGCTTATGGATTAATAAAAACGAAAACGAGAAAAGAAATATAAATAGAGTTCGGTTTATTATAGACTTCTGGGCAATGGTTGATAACTAGCGACACATATATGATATTTATCGCTGTGGGCGTGTGATAAGAAAGATCGCCATTCCACGACAACGTTGTTTCTATCCGTAGCGGGACTTCATCAGGTGGATTGCTTAATCTTATATTTGCTTAGATAATGTAATTCTAAGAGATATCTATAAACATTGAATTACATTTTTCAATATAAGAATTAAAATTTAAAAACATTTGCACATTTAAAGTTTTTCGAATAGAATTAACTTTGAACTAGGATTAAGACAATCATAGAAGTCAATATCTATCCATATTGAAAAACTTTTTATTCTAAATCAATGATTTCTTTCATTACTGGGTGTGTGATAAGAAAGGATGGGTGTGGGTGTGGGTGTGGGTGTGTTAGCAGATGATTCAAATAAGAATCAATCAAAATAGCTAGCAAGACCGGTTTCGACAAGTGCTGAAGAAGTACTCATCAATTGCTTTTTGATTTGAATATTATTATCTCCTACTTGTAATTGAAACAGTCAGAAGTTAAAATAAACTTCCAAGGATAGTTAACAATTACAATAATCTTATCATTGGATAAATGTAAAACAAATTCCAACAATTTTGAAAGAGAGTGTGGGTGTGGGTGTGGGTGCGTGGGTGTGTGGGTGTGTGGGTGTGTGGGTGTGGATGGATGTGGATGTGGGCGTGGGTGTGGCTCTTACGTCGTTATTATTGTGGAAAGGCATGAATACGTTTGTAGGCTTATGTGTAGGTGTTCGCTTGGATGTTTTTTCTCGAGTTTCTTTAGGTATCTAGACGCACATCTGCACTACCTTCATTTGTGCATACTCTTAGCGGGAATGTTTATTTTCCTGATCGTTTTGATTTTATAGTTATATTTCATAGTAAGAACTGTCTTTTATTTTAAATTTTCTTATTTTACGATTCAAAGATGCTGACGTTCCCCTGCGTGGCGTTCACCATGAGTGAAAAGAGGAAGGCGGTAGATGCAGTTATAGTTGTTTGATAGAATCGATGAGAGTCGATTGAATCGCGGAATCGTATAGCTATGGCTTCGCGACGAATCGCTGTAATTTGCCCTTAACTACTTGTCGAATCAGGCTTGTTCTAGCTTCTGCAGTTCCCTTTCGCTGGTATTAAAGCCCGAGTTTCCATTTCTGTTATAGGTGTTACTGTTAAAGAGTATGTTCCCGTCTATTTGCAAGGAAAACCCGGTTATAAATTTGATATTGCCTTGTGTAGCATTTTTTCCTTCATACCATTTAGCCAATTGTGCATGGTTTGTACCAGCTCCATCTAGATACCCATAGCAGTTGTTGCAAACCAATAGTACAATGTTTTCGCCAGTTAATTGAGAAGAGTAGAAAACGAGGCCTGTTTTTGCTACGTTCTGACAAGTGCAACTATGCTTCGACCATGAATAGATAGGCGAAAGAGGAGTAGCGACACCAGTATCAGAGTGGACAGCGCCGAAACGGTCATCTTCATAGAAGCCAAGCGTTAGGCTTGGTAGTATAAATGCCATAATTCACGTTTGTGAACAAGAAGGCGCTCAAGTGTAAACTGTTGAAAATGCTGTTAAATAACAACAATCACGATTGTGAAAATATAAATAGTAGCAATACACTGCGTTCTCCGTCCCCCAGCAACGAGTAACTAAAGCACTTAACTGAATTTATTGCCGCCAGCTGGCAACATCAAAAAGAGAAAATCTTATCACAAATTTATTTGGCAAAAAAACCCAGTCACACGAGCGAACTCTTTTTTGTCCCTCGAGCAATAACTAAGTGAGGTAATCAGCTGCACCTCGATGAAAAGGTGTGGGTATGGATGTGGGTGGGTTCGAGTGTGTGTGGGCGAGTATGGGTGTGAGGGTGGGTGTGGATATGAGTAAGTGTTGGTGTGGGTGGGTGTACGATGTAGGGTGTGAGTATGGGTGCAGGTGCCGGTGTGGATGTGAGTGTTGTTAGACACTCATCCACACCACTCATATCGACACATCACATTCACATCCACATCCACTCACAACACACACACACACACACACAGCCACACCCACATCCACATCCACTCACACCCACCCACACCCACACCCACCACACCCACACCTACACCCACACCCACACCCACACCCACACCCACACCCACACCCACACCCACACCCACACCCTGCTGGACAATTACATATATCATCTAGCCATTTTAATTTATCAATTGGTAATGTGACAAGCCAAATACTAAATGCTCTCTTTTTATACAATTTCATCCACATTTAATTCCTCATCATATATGTTAGCTGGTACGTCGAGAATGTCCATCGCTGTTGCCATTTTGAATGAAATTAATAATATACGGTTGATGCATAAGTTCTGCACGTTTTTTTCTTTTTCAAAAACAAATTTATTTTTCAACAAAGATATGATGCACTAGTCAACAATATAATCGGCATTGTTTTGGACAACAGTTGCTCATCTTGCTAGCAGTAATTCAGTTCCACGTTTGTATTGAGTTGGGTTATAAGTTCTGCATGTTTCAGGTACTGTTCTAGTAGACGTGCGTGTTTTCTTTCTCACGTTCCATGATGACTCAAATAATATGTCTTTTGAAAGAGAACAGCTCTCGATTATTTTGATATTTATAAAGATTTATCCCTCCTTACGACTACATAGATATATGTATTTGCTGTTCTTTTCTTTTCTTTTTGTTATCTGTATTTCTTTTGTTCTTTCACTTTCTTTCATCTCATTACTGTATATTCGTTTCTGTACTCTCAAGGTCAAATAAACATTGATATTGAGCTTAATCTTTTCTGTTATTATTACGTAGTTATATACTCATTGCGTAATAATATTTCTATTGCGTATTTTATAACACGTGATAATATTATCGTTATATATATCTTCTACTCTTCTGTTATTACTCTGTTTCAAATTAAATGAATTAAAGAAAACTCATATTCGGCACTGTATGCTCTACGAGTTCGATCTAGGCTCAACAGCAGCTGAAGCAACAAGGAATATTTGTGCTGCATATGGCGAGAAACCAATCGACAGTTCCACGTATCGCCGTTGGTTTACTAAGTTCCGTTCTGGAGATACCAGCTTAACGAATAAGTCTCGCTTCGGACAATCTGTGGAGTTGAACGATGAAGCCTTGAAAGCTGTGCTCGACGCCAATTCACATCAAACAATACGCGAATTAGTCAAACAAATCAACTGTAACTGTGCGACAGTGGATCGTCATCTTCATGCTCTTGGCAAGATTCACAAGTATAGAAGTTTGGTTCCACACCAATTGTTTACAGACAACTTGGCTCAGCGTGCATCGATTTGTGCTTCGCTGCTTTCCCTACAGAGACATCAACCATTTTTGAAACAAATTATTATTGGAGATGAAAAATGGGTGTACTATGTCAATGTTCATCGTAGAAGGCAGTGGCTTGATCCCTATCAAGAATCATTACCAAATGTTAAACCAGACTTGCATGCAAAGAAGATAATGTTATTCATTTAGTAGGATATGAAGTGCATCATCTATTTCGAATTTTTAGATATCAATCAAACGATTACCGCTGATGTCTGCTTTCAACACTTGCAAAAACTGCATGAAGTTCTACTTGAAAAGCGACTGAACTTGGTCAATCAAAAAGACGCCATCGTTCTCCATGACATTGCTACACCTCATGTAGCAAAGTTGACTCAGCAAACAATCGAACAGTCCGGATGGAAAGTTCTTCCGCATCCGCCGTGGTCACCAGACCTTGCGCCATCCGATTATCATCTGTTCCTCTCTCTGCGAAACTATCTTAGCAACAAACACTATGAAGACTTTGATGAGCTAAAATCTGACCACATTGCTTTTCTCGAATCAAAACCAGCTAGTTTCTACAAATGTGACATTGGACTATTACCAGTTAGATGGGCGAAGGTTGTCGAAAACGATGGCGATTATATTGTTGACTAATACTCCATATCTTTGTTGAAAAATAATTTTTTTGTAGAAAAAGAAAAAAACGTGCAGAACTTGTGCATCAACCGTATATAATGCCTTTCTCTTCTTGCGAAATGATCATCTCGATCACCAAAAGCTAGTGTTACAAAAGAAAAGGACGAAACAATACGAAACAGAAGTGAAAAGAAACAGCGAAAAACTTTGTTACTGGCCATTAATCAGCATGAGACACTCCTGTTGTAACCAGGATCTAAATTTTGATTTGGTGTTACTACCACCAACGCTGAATCATGATTTATTGACCGAGTTATCAGGATGTGGGTGTGAGTGCGAATGTAAGGGTTATGGGTCTTGCTTTCGTCTCTGGGTGTGGGTGTCGTTGTTCATGTTCTAGACCCCACATCCGCACCCACGCCAACACATCCACATCCACACCCTACCCCACACCCACACTCGCACACCCTTCACTTTAGAATAAAACGTTAGTTATTCATTTGATCGATTTTATTTTTTAGCGGTATTTTATTTAATTTTAATTAATTAATAATAATTGATCCGTTGATTAGTGGCAATTGTTGACCATCTCGATAAAAAGCACCATTTTTGAGTTGATCACGAGTAGTATTAATTACATAGAAAATTGAATCAGCACCCAGCTCAGGTGGACGTGTATTTGGCATATCTCGAGTCATATCTGTGGCGCATAATCCTGGAGTTACACTGACGAAGAGTAAATTTTTTCTACTCGATGATTCACGTGCTTCAATTTGTGTCAGAGCATTTAACGCTGCCTTTGTAATACCATAGATTAGAAAGTCTGATTTAGGATTATATCCAAGAGATTCGAGATTATTTTTCTCAATCGATGATATAAAATCTTCAACTAATTTATCAAGTTGACTTTTCGTCAATGTTGATGATGTATATTTATCTTGCAGTGATTTCGACATTTCTTGTAAAACAATAGAACCAACTCGACTAGATACATTTATTATTCGACCATTTTCTCTCATAAGAGAAATTAAATATTCATTAAATATTTTTATTCCATAATAATTTGTATTAAATAATTCTCGAGCTACATTCACTGTCATTTCTGTTGTAAATATACCAGCATTATTAACAATAACATCTAATTTACCATCATAGAGTTGTTTTATTTGATCAATAGCACGAATAATCGATTCTCTTGAAGATGTATCCAATTGAAGAAGTTTAACATTAGATGGAGAATTTAACTGTATGAATGCATCTTCACCTTTTTTTAAATCTCGACAACCAAGTAGAATAAGAGTGCTGTCTGATGGGAATTCTTTCAGTAGTTTTTTTACTAATGCAACGCCAATGCCTCTATTAGCACCAGTAATAAGAATAATACGTTGCTCTTCTTCAAATGACATCTTAAAAATAGAAATGCATATGACTAAATTAACTTTTGTACAACATAGGAACAAATGAAAAATAAAATCTAAACAATTTCGAATATATATGTGTTAAGACGAACGATGATGTCATAAGAATGTCAAACAAAATTCAATCAATTCATATGATTAAAATATTCCTCTAAGTCAAATACAATAAACATACGACAATCCATATGAGAAGAAAATTTTCAGACCTTGCTTTGTTTGTTTTCATAAATAAATCAAATATTGTTTAAACATAGAAAAATAGGAACTTACAACAACATGCACATGTACACATATATTCGCTAATATATTATCTATTCTTTCAATGAATGTGTCATATTCTCTTGTAAAGAAAAAAAATTGTCGAGCATGAAGCATACTAAAGCTGTATACACTCTGTATTTATTCTTATACAATGTAACGAAATACGATCGGTAATACGTAGGTACGTAATATGACAAAATACGACGATTAACATTCGTTTATGACCACACCTGTTTGAGCTGGCTGTATGAAATAAAAACTTACCTACTGACGCTGCTTGAAAATAAAGAAAAAAATGTTCTATAAAGTTGATGATTGTATATTACCTTTATAGGTACTCCCTTTTATTTTTCTGTCCTTCAAGAAAAAAAACGAATATCCTTTTTTTTTCAAAGTACAGAACGCGTTGAATGTCCTCTCAATAATGGTGAAATGTGTTGACTCATAGTTCTTAATGTTAAAATCGAGATTGATTCTTGAGAATAAAATGTCTTTGTGATATTATACGATAAATATAGTTAAGATGTTCAATTTCAGGCGCAACTAGGAAAATAAATTTTAAAATAAGATATAAATACATTAGCTAATGAAGAGAAAGGGTGTAGATGTAGATGGGATGTGGGATGTGGGTGAGTGTGGGTTTGGAGCTTGTTTTCATCCACACACTCGCCAACCTACACCCATCCATTATCTAATTTTCATACAGAAAGCTTGACGAAATTTTTCTTATATTGTGATAAAGAAAATAATACTTTATTTTTCTGTTCTATTTGACCAATCTTGAACTATAACATCATAATAATAAAATTTCCATACGAGCTGTTTTTCTGTAAAATGTGACAGGTATAGATGGGTGGCTAGCTGACTGTAGGTATGAATGAGTAATTGTGGTGAGAAGATCTACCCACAACCTTCTTATTTTGTATGTCTTGATTTGCGCAAAATCTTAATATTTGACCATTCTTTTTTTACTTGATTGAAGCTACAATAAATGGATATCGTTGATAATACGTAATAGTTCTGAAGGAACCGTACATACATTTGTACTTGTTTTCCGATTTCGCATCTATACATTGATAGTTCAATATTAGATTTCATGTTTCTGATCTTTTCAATTGGTGTTTAAAGGTAAATATACACTTGTTTCAATGAAATCAATCGAATATTAAGAAATGGTACGTGCTACGATTTTCAAATACTTATTAGTTTTTAATAGAACTCGTTTCAATCATGATGATTAATTTTTAAGCGAATCTCATCATAATTTATTTCTTATTCATTGCAGTTAGCGCTTCCCACATTTTGTCTGCCTGGAAAAGCTGATGCAAAAAACAACAATTTTTAAAAAAGAAAACAGTATTGATCAATCATGATTAAAAGTAAATTGAACAGTCTACTATCGTGTGTATTATGTTGTAAACTTCAAGTTTGACCTATTAATCTTATTATTCTCGTCGTCTTTTCGAAGATGAATTGCTTTTTTTAGGATAATTGAGACGAATTTCATATTCGTAGATTTGTTCGCCACCGTTTGCTGCCAACATGCCATGAAGATCATCTGTACCATTTTTATGTTCTATTTGAATACCATTCGCAGTCACTTCAATTTGGGCTCGTTGATCATCGGATCCTTTGAGAATAATTTTGAATTGTGCATCTTCATTATCAATTATTTCATTGTATTCGAATTTCACTGGTGTTGACTTGACATTTTTGAATGTTAGATGAACGGCGTACATGGCTGAATGTCTTTCTCTCGAAATTAATTTTACTTGTCGATTTAATGAAACCTAAATAATAGCATATATTTGTATATCGAGGAAGAGAAAACAATGAACTCACATCAGAATCTTGGCCACAGCTGAAAGTGTGCTTGTCACCTACGCTCATGTCAGGCAAAGTCGTCACTCCAACTAAATGACCCTGTTCTCGAATAGTTAATGGTCCACCAGGAAGAAATTTATCAATCGATTCAATACGATATTTTCGTTGCAATTTTCGTATTTGTGTGTGACTAGTAAATGAAAGCGTCAGACCGACATATTTTCTTATTTGAATTGTTGCATTGATGAATGGCAAACCAAATGTTGACTTAGGCAAGAGAATAAACGGCTGATCGATTGAATAGAGATAGAGACCTATTTAGGCATATTGCGTTTCAAAAGAAAATATAGAGAATACAATACCTATAGAAATGAGGCTTACCTGCTAGTTCTCCTAGTGTATCAATAGTCAGTGTCATACCGCGACAGTCAAATTCTTCTCTATCTTCCTCAGAAGCCACACTTAAACTTCTGCTTCTACTTCTGGATCGATCACGACGTCGTTTTGCTTCGACTTCTCCTTGTAAGTGCACATCCCCACTGAACAATTCTGTGCGATCGATTCTATATTCTTGTTTTGTTCCATTCGTAATTTCGGCAAATGCTTGAAATGTATGCTGACGATCATCGGATAGAATACTCAATTCGTACTGTGGCAACCAAGAAATACCTTAAAATAATCAAATAAATAATGAGATATTACATGAAAATAAAGTGTATCACATTTCTTGATACTGATCTTTGATTGTCAACGATAGAAATTATAGTCGATCTCTCAAACAGATCGCAAATTATAAAATATAAATGAATTCAATCTATCTACATAACAGTAGACTTTTGTAGGTACAGTTGACGGATAAAGTCAACGAGAATGAATATAATTCTCTTATAGAACAATATCAAATAGACTTAGGACAGTTCCATATGAGTTCCTTCCAAAAAAAAACATTTTGTTTCCATTAACAGAACAATTTCGATCTTTTCAGGAGAACACAATTTTTTAGCAATTTATCTGAACTTTGAACCATCTAATGTTAATATCATGCATAAATATATTTGCTCATTCAAAATGCAGCAATTGCTTTATTTAATCATAACAAGAGATCTAAGTTTAGTTGCTTCTACAAAAAATTATTTGCTTCTGTTAGATTATAGGTGTCATTTATATAGCAATGTCTGTTATCTACCTCATGTTTTCAAATGAGAAGTTTGAGTCTCTTGGAAAAATGATTGAAAATATTTTTCTAAAATTACTTTTTCATATATAATACGATTTTTCTGATGTACTTGAGGCTATTTCGGATGACTGTTTTTGGCAGGGTCGAAATGTGTAGAATGCACCATAATGCAACAAAATAATATTTCGATAAACGGAAAAAATATTCATCGAAAGTTATTGCAAGTACTTCGGAAAAAAATCGAGCTCGATAGGTCAATGCCTTCTGTTAGAAGTGAGGAACATAAATGAATTTTTGGTATCTACAACCTCCGTAATCTCTCTTTCAGCTTTTTCATAGGTTATTTATAGTGATGAACTGAATGGTAATTACAAAAACAACATTGAATGTTGTTCGACTTCACTTTCGAGATTGATTGAGATACAAAACTCAATTTTTCACAGTTTTTCATTTTAATTCGACTTCCACTACCTGGAACGAAAGTCGAACATATCTCGAAAATTTTATTGACATTGTCTATCGATCAAAAATGATCGATAACAAATAGTTCTATCGTAATTTACATGCTAAGATGCATTCGAGAGATCTACATTTGAAGAAATCTACCCATGTCTAAAAATGGAATTCCGTTACTTTTGGATCGACCAGACTCAAATCGAAATTCATTTCTTAATCCAATTTCTTATGTAATTAGCTTAATATTTGATCAAAATTCATTTCGGATTACTAGCATGTAGAAGTACTTTAAAACAAATGTTTATCCCATTCGATCATCGATATGACTCACCATGAATTTGATAGCTCAATGTTGCTTTGCCTTGTTGTTTTAAGACATACGACACTTCAGTTTCTTTCTGTTCCGGCATGGTAACATATTCGAGTTCGTGTCGTTGAGCACGAAAATATCGTTTTGTTTTGATATTTTGTAAAAGAAGATCATCAGCTTGAATAACACGACATTCTTGAGGTTCTTCGTTTGAGTTACATCGAACAAAGATCGTTTGATTTTCAAGATTGTTTGCATGGGGAACGACTTGTTTCGATTCAATCGGAATACCTTCAATTGACAATGAACCTCGAACAATATTCGCATATACATCTTGTGAAAAATACATCCTGAAATTCTATGTAAATGAAACAAAACTTATTCTAATTTAGTTAATTCAACAAACGAGACTTACCTTTGGTGCATTGTATTGTTGACGAATTTCTGTGAACGATGGATAAATACGTAATTCTGTAAAGTTTGGCAAGATCATTCCTGTATCGGTCAACATGATGGTTATACGAAAAAAACCCAAAACTCGAGTGAGAATATCGCGTCAGCCAAAGTTGTGCTCCGATTGTGACATGTTTATCTTACCTTCCATGGTTGCTTTAAAGTAAGAACAGAATTGCACAACACGTGTGTAAGATGCGAGAAAAACAAATTGCATAGGCCTCCATGCCGTGCTCTAGAATGATGAATCATACGCTTTGCTTTACCGACAGACAGATTATTTTATTATTTTTCTAGAATTGTTTTTGATACAATGAGAGTACAACAGAATATTTTCTATCTTAAATGATTTTAAGTTGCATGAGTAACAGAAAAAGAAAACGAAAAACTGATGCCAATTGATTCTTGATCATGACTAATTGGTTTTTATAGTTGAAGAGTTTGTGGAAAACCTATCTTATGAAACATTTTTTACAGCAGTACAGAGAAGGTTTGATACGAAATCTTTTTTGGTTTTATAAAAAAAAATCTTTTTTTGTTTAGAGTGCACTCACACTCGAATTTGTTCAATATTCAAAGAAGAATCGTACGTGATATGGTTGCAAAGTAAATTTTAAAGAATGTAAATAAAAATTCATTAAATATTTTTCTTTTTCGTAATATCTCAACGAATTTCGAATGGTTCGGATATAAAGCTTGTAAAATGAATTTATTGTCATAAATCAAAATGACTCTGAAAGGTATACGTGTGAAGACCATTTTTTTTGTTCTTTGACACGTGGCACATAAAAGTGACATGACATTGTATTTGCGCAAATCGTCTCACAATAAAAGTAGACTCTTTCAGACACATTACCTTGCAGACAATAGTCGACGATTATTTTTCGAAGTGAATCATTGCTTAGTTCGCTCATGGGTCAGCGTAATTCCACGTCAGTACCATCATCAGTGCAAGAAATCAAATCGAATTTGGCCGCTACTGTCGATTACGAAATCGATTCTCCTCGATTCTCTGTTCATGATGCTCGGAAAGTGCAGGAAGGTATTGAATATTTGAACGAACATGGCTATGCTGTGTTTGCTGATGTACTTTCTCCTGACGAGATCACTTCTAATATCGATCTACTATGGAAACATTTGGAGAATTTGCCTTCACCATATCACATTCGAGGAGATAATGCGAAAACATGGGACTTTTTATGGCCAGGTATAGCTCGTCTAGGATTGATGGCGAATGAAGGTATCGGTCAGTCCCAATTTATGTGGTCGGTACGAGGCAATCCAAATGTTAAAAAGATTTTTGCTCAAATTTGGCACACATCTGAATTGCTAGTCTCATTTGATGCTGCTGGCTGCTTTCGCGACTGGCATTTGAATCGCACGTGGAAGACATCGAGTGGCTGGTACCATTGCGATCAAGTCAGTACTTTCTCTTTGTGTTTCTTTTTTACAATTCATTTGAGTCGTTTGTATATTTGTCTGATAATAGCATCCAATTAGAAAGCCCGACCGTTGCTCGATTCAAGGTCTAGTGTCTATAACTGATAGCAACGAATTTACTGGTGGTCTTGTAATTGTGCCTGGCTCGCACAATCATTTCGGCGAATTTCAGTCTCTTGTCAGAGCCAACGATCGACAAGACGATTACGTGAGCATACCTCCGCAATACCCTTTGCTCGAACAATTGAAGCCTCGTCTAGTCAAATGTAAAGCAGGTGATCTTATTGTATGGGATTCTCGGTGTATTCATTGCAACACACCAGCTCTCGATGTTAACGACGAGACAAAAGAGGAGACAAGCTCGAATGTAGACAAATCTCCTCGACTACTACGCATTGTAGCCTATGTGTGCATGAGTCCAACCGCGATGGTCGCGCCCGATAAACTCGAAGAATTCCAAAAGACCAGACAAGAGTTTGTAAGAGACAGAGTGGCCTGCACACACTGGCCACATGAGCTCAATGCCTCTAGTAAGTGACACTTGAGTGAAGAAAAAAGTATGCATCTCACCTCTGTAGGCCTGCCACAATTTGACGAAAAACAAGCACTCAAACTAAACGCATATCAACAATCTCTTATTATTGGCACTAATGTCGACGCAAATGATGCAATAACAGGAACGGTAGTCGATGTGTGATTCCAAGCTTCACTTTCATACAATACTCCTTTGTAACTGTGATTATTTTCATGATCGTTCGAATAAAGTGATTCAAACTAAGTATAAAGAAATGTGTAATGTAGATTTGGATCTTTCCTGTAAGACATTACAAAAATTAGGTTTTCTGTAAAGACATCAAATGATCGACACATGTACCTATCTCTCCGCACGTGACAATACAAATAATATCAGACCTATTTTTAGAAAAAAATGGGTGGTATGCGTCTCATAGATGAGCAGTTTCACTCCATCTTCGCTCTATAGGCACAAAAGAGTTGAAGATGCTTCTCAAAGAGAATTTGACTAAGTTTTGGCTCAAGTTTTTCGCGGCGAACTGAATTGTTAACTGTTACTCATACTGTAATAAATTCAGTTGATTTTTCTTATCATTTGTTAAAGTTCAGGTTGTAGGTGTGAATTGGTGTCTATGAAAGCGTGGCTATTAGTGTACGAATTTTCTTCATACTCACACTCACACCGTACATCCACAACCCAATGTGAGCTAGAGAAAATTATTTCTGTTAAAGCCTACTTTAAATTACAAGAATATTTTCAGATGTTTTATTTTCTTTTTCTTTTCAATATAATTAATACTCTTGTTGTTATGGATCCAGTATATGAAATATTAAAATTGATTTAACAAATATGATAGAAAATGAATAATATAAAGAAAAATTAATTGAATTATCATGATCAAACTCAATGAAAATTTAAATATTTTATATTTAGATCTGAAATCGAAGTGAGATTCAAGTTTGTACCTAGAATCTGAAGGAAGTTTATTGAAATTCTATTATTCAATATTAATAGCTGATAAAAATAATATTATTTTATTCATAAATCATATTACAAACCAAGTTGTCTTGAAGTCACTCATGTCAATTTACCATTTTAGTTATTCTTATTATAAATATTCAATTACTTATAGTTAGTATATTATTAATCGAAAAATATAGTGCAAGCAAAGCAACGATATTTAAGGGAATAGAGAATGCAGAAACAAAAATGAAAAACTTTCCAGATATGGTCAGCTGTATCACTGTGCCAGCACGTTATTGATGAATAAGGACGACCAATAAAATATGTAAAGACAAAATATTTCATAAGTTCATTATAAACACTATCAACTGAAGGATCATTTTAAAAAATATATCCATATTTTCGATGGATCTGTTAGTTTTGATCTACCAGGCGAATCATTTGGTGAACAGTCTGGAGAAGATTTTAATTGAATGTCTGTGTAGACACTCCGCAATTTGGATTTTCGATATTCTGAGACGAACTTATCAATTTAGCAAGAAGGTCTTTTTGAAAATTTCTTTCCTCAAATTACATCACAATAACTGTTTTCGGTTTCCTCAGAATTTTGTATTGGTAATTTTTCCCAGAGATCGAAAAATATATCTAAGGCAATATAACGATTAGTCGAGTTTATAGTTGTATTGCCACTAAACATCTTCAGTATCTCTTTATGTATGGTATTGACTGAACGGTGATAAACGTTTAAAACCACATCAAACTGTGTCCAGTATAGAAAAATTGTTCTAAGAATGGAGACATTTGCTATAAGATCAGTGACGTTAGAATCATTACCAAAATTAATACTTTGTTCATTGAAACTATAATGCAACAAAATATATCCGAATAAAATAACTAGGTGAATATGTATTTATATTTCAAATTCGAAAATCAATCGATTAATGTCACGACGCAATAATGCTTAGCACATAGCAAAATATATAGTTTTATTGTAAGAAGAATGAAAAGAAGCACTTATCTACTACAGTAAAACCTCTTTGATATGAGTACAATCGGGGCTCATTCAAAAGCGGTGATGATAAGGAAGTCCTTACTTACGAAAGGTCCATTTTCAGCAAAAACCGATTTTTCGAACTCTTCAAGAATGTTCACAATAACGAGATTTTACTGTATTTGTTTTCGGCTGTTGTCAAACATATAGAATTTTTGGTCCAGTTTACGACATGTTTTTTATCTCACGTTTTAGAATGTTGTACCTTAACATTTGGATAGAGACACAAGAACAGAAGCCGTAAAGAAAGTGAAATGTTTTTAATTAAATTCCTTTAGATTGCATTTAGTGGCGTAACTAAGGTAGGACCAGGGATTTAACCCTAACACTTCATAATTTGAGAATTTTTTTGTCGCATAGAATATCGAAAGAATTATTACGGAACGATTGCTTCAGTCTTTTTGAGGATTTGAGAGAATGTATGATATAAATTTAATAATATCTCGATCAATCGCGCTTACAGGTAAATAGCGAATATTTTTGTAGTTGAGATTATGAAAACGATGGAATATTCAAGATATATCTTAATAAGTTGGACTATACCTAATGAATCATATGCAAGAGAGAAAGGACAAAACTAAGAGGAATACTATAAAACAAATGCATGACACAAAGAAAGAAAAGAAAGAAATAGTTATACATGACCTATATGTGCATATATATGTATTTATATGACGTTCTTAGTACGTGACGTAATATGGAGCTTGTTGAAGAATTGGAAAAAACCTACTAATTTCGTCCCCGATAAATACGAAGCAAAATCGATTACAAGTACACAAAACAAACAGCTCGTACATTCCAACACGTTTTATCACGTAATTATATTTTATTCTCAATATTATTAGACTAGTGACAAAATTAAATTAAATATGTCAAATGAGTAGCTACCAACAATGAAAATGAGAGTACATAGAAATAAAGTATTTTTTTTATATTCACAAAGTACCCATGTAAAAAAAAATTAGGCAAATAATCAGATTAAAATCATACACCTTTAATCGATTAGGAATCAAATATAATCAAAAATAATTCAAGAAATCAAGATTTTATCGATTATTCCTATTATGATCGATTAAAAATTCCTGAAAAAAATTTATTAAAGATTTTATTATTTATTCTGAAGGAAGATCGATTATAATCATTTTTTTTTTCAGAAATTTTTAATCGATCATAATTGACAATAATAGGAATAATCGATAAAATTTTGGTTTTTGTGGTTTATTTTTGATTGTACTCCGATTATTCGCCTAGTTTTTTTTAGATAGATAAGTTCAAAAAGGTTCCGATTGAGAACGCTTGATATATGCAATTAATAGTCTTGATTGAAGCAGCTCTTATACGTAAAATAATCTTACTATAAACAATGTCAAACAGAATGACATTTACAATGCTTACGTTTCACTTAGAATTATAGTGATAGACAGCATGAATTCTACTCTTAGCTAGCAGCATAGCAGTTGATTCACAAACTTCTGATGATCCGAAAGCCGATTTTGCTGTCATACGTAACGTTTTATGTTCTATCCGATGACTTTATCAAAAAGAACAAAACAAGAGGTGGAACATGATCAAATTCTAAAAATCCGAGTAGATTCTATGAGGATCCTCTATTAGATTTCAACCATGAGCAGATATTTAGTTTTCAAATCAACTAATATATGACCTATATTATTGAGCTCAGTGAGTTTTACTTACAGTAAAAATTTTAGTGTTGTACATCTTTTTCTTCGAGAGATATAGGTTCCACAAGTTTAGTTGAAATTTGACCTTTCCATAAAGCATAGCAAAATTGTGAAATCCATAATCAATACTAAAGTTTTATTCGAGATACTCCGAAGTCAAAAGAATTTTGAATGGCAATAATACATCAGTCGACAGACCCAATAGGGTGTGGATGTGAATGTAAATGTAGAAGTAGGGGAAAGACGATTCATACTTCACACCCACACTCTTTCCAACTTTGAAAATATGTGTATTTGTGTGAAGTTAGTTTTTTATGCATTCTGAATAGATATATTCACTATTCATTTTTTATTTTCTGTCATTCCACTTTTTTCGTTTTTACAAGACAAGATATGTAGCACAAACACATTAAAATCTATCCTTGCATAGATCTAAATTTCCTTATCTGAACAGTTACAGTTCTCTTCCAGATTTATACTGATCTTGTAGAAGTGACAATTTCACAAATGGGTAATGCTCCAGCTTCAACAATAGGTAATGCTCAACCAGTAACAGCATGCAACACACGTCAAACGACTACTTGGAGTGGAAATGTAAAAACAGGTCAAATTGAACGTCGTAATGAAAACATAAAAGAAGATTGTAGTAAACCAGATTGTAAAACTTCAGGCTGTTATGATGGACGACACGATAAAAAGTGATGGACAAGCATCGATATTAAGCGTTCATCAGAAAAGAAAATGAAAGCAAAAACATTATCTTATTCAATCCAGAAAATAACAGCATTATAAGTCTTTTTTGAGAAGGTTCAGTATGTTTTACTTGTTCCTTCTTTTGTTCTTTTTTTAAATGAATATACAAGAACTGATTTATTGATGTACCTTTGTAGTTATCTGAGAACCGTGCTAAACCCTCAAATTACGTTCAAAAGATAGTTAAGTTCTAAAATCTAATTCTATTGCAGTACGATAAACATGAGAGAAAAATACGAAATATATTAGTGGACAGCTAATATAAGAATTTTTTTGAAAATAAACATTTAACTAATAAAACTTAGACAAAGATTAATTAATCATAACACCTTCGATACATCTTTACCATTATTACTCATTTTTCTCGACTAAAACGGAGAAGTTCCTTTCTTCTATCTAAGTGTATACTACATAGAAATTTGCCGTTTAGTCTAACCCCATCCATCTTAGGCTTGGAAAAAAGAGAAGGAAGATTTATACTACATTCAAACAATTGGCAATAATCAGTCAATCCACTCAAAAAAGCGTAAAGAATCATCACCATTTGAAACAAATATCAAACTATATCAATCATTTGAGGGAAATAACAAATTTGTATAGTTGCAATGTTTATCATAATAGCAAAAACAAAGTTTGTTGCCCTATACAAATTGTAGACAACAAACTCTTGTTGTTAAAATTCTTGAGGAGGGCGATGACAAAGCAGAAATCTACAGTCAGTATCGCCATTAAAA